CATCAATATGCAGGACGGGGAGAATGCAAACCAAAAGATGCAATGTGATTGAGAGGACATTATTCTGCTGGGAAAACCTGGGTCCTATTATTTTGACATGACTTATCTCTGAATTGTTTGAGATAATTTACACAATTTCTATATAAACTTGTCTTCTTAATGGATGTGGGCTGATTCAATAGGATAATGCATCCTGTTACAAAGCAGAATGGCTTAAGGACCACAACAAGATGGTTTAGGTGTTGAGTTGAGGTTGAAATGCCCCGGCTCTGAATCCATTTGATCAGTTAGATGTTTTTTTACAAATGGGTCAGATCAATTGAAGTTCCACCTCTCATCTTTCTGCACACAAAGGATCTGACAGGGGGGTCATAATTTATCTCTCGATTGCTCTACACTGTCACAGGTGCATAATTTCATATTCAGTACTTCATTTTTCTTGCCATGTAATCTTGAATTAATGAAAGTAAATGGAAGATAATTGACTGTATTGTAGGCTGCCGGGCCCTGCAGATGACTTCTCTCTTTGCACAGTAGATCATCATTGACAGATAGATGTATTCCCTGCAGGCTTACCACATAGCAAGCTTGCAGACACGTCGACCGCAGACATCCACAGGGAGCCTTCCCCTGATTACATCTGAAACTTGGCTCTAACACAGTCTCAGACGTGCAACACCTACGTAATCCTTAGAAGTAGACCGTTAATCAATTCCAGATTTATTGTTGAAAGAGTCTCAGTTGAGTCACAGTTCTGTACGATAACTAGATAAATGCTCAGAAAAGCATTTATATAGAAAGAGAGCAAAGGAGAACAATAAAAATACTTCAAATTAAAGACGGCAAACACATTCCCAGAATGGAGAGTTTGCATGAGGCATTGTTTGACTGACTTTATGTAATCTGCTTTGAATGCAGGATTTACAATGCATCTTGTTTCACTGGAAGAACTAACAATCACCACAGACAACCAACAATGGATGTAACGATAAACTACCAATGAGGTTTTGAAAAGAAACTGTCCCTGCAGTAGATCACTCCATTGTTTGCTTAATTCTGCTAGATTGGGTTGCTTTTACTAAATAAAGATTTAAACACCTTAGAGCACTGATTTGGAACTTGAGTCATCAGAGGCAACTTTTAGATGTGTTCCTGCTCTAAATTTTTAAATCAATTTCTTCAATTGCTTCCACAGCATGTGGTTAAGGTCCTGCTATTTACCTTATTTGATTCAAGTGTATTGAAGCAGAGACCTGCATCAAAGTTGCAAGACAGCAGACCTGAAGGACAGGGCTTTGAGACTTCAGAGGACAGTCTCTGGCATTCTTGTTTGTAAGAGTAGACTACAACTCTTGTCTCAGTCCTTGATGTGACACTGAAGAGGTGTCTCACTTGTGACTCTTTTTGCTTTCAGAAAATTCAGGCCTTGTTCCTCTCAAAATAGAAGCTTAAGGCTCCATCTCCATCTTCTCAAAACGCCCTATGATTGTGTTGCTTAGGCCAATCTGCAGGATTGCTACAGTAATATGGCACACCGGTTCAGACTGTCCACATTCTCACGTAATGAACTGTTTCATTCTAGGATTTCTGGCCACAGTCATGGAGAGGAAGATGTCTAGTTTCTCTCTGCTTTTTGCAGAGGATGTTCTGTTGGCGTCTTTACATACAGGAGTAATATGGAGCAGGGTTATGAATTATTGCCTCCAAATTTGAACCGTGGCTCTCAAATGGAAAAGGTGGAATGATTGCTGTAGGTCAGATTTAAGACTGCTTCTGAGTTCAAGTTCCACGGATGAGTTTAAGTACCTTAATGCATTGTGCACTCGTGAGAAGGGCAGTAAGAATGACTGGACTGTGCTTGGGGGAACTTTCTAAAGAGGAAACCAAAGTTAAAAGCTGGTGCTCCAACTGAAACTGGATCGCATTTTGCTTTCAGTGATATTATACCGCTTATTTTGCAGTGAGCCTGCTGGCATTGTTGGTTATTTTCCTCACTTTTGTGAAAACATAAAATAAGGAACATGAAACAAGACAGTTTCTAATATCTTGTGGGTTTAAAGATTGACATTTTCAAATTTGTCATAAGCCATTCACAGAAACAAAAAAAGTGTAAGGTCATGTGGCTCATTTGGATATGTCCAGTGCAGTCGAATTATGAGATGAAAGTTTTGGCTTCATTCCATTTGAAATGAAAACTCCAGCTTCCTCTTTAGGCTTGTGCACATTGCTTTGATCCTGCTCCTGGGTCCACAGCAGCCTCCTTTGCATCAATGGACCATAAGGCTGACCTGCAGAGCTGTCTGGGCCTACATCATTAAAATGGGCATTAAGTCACTGCAAATGTTGATTAACTGCTAGAATCCATTACACACAATTAAATTTCTATTACAATGGCAGCGATGGATGACATAAGTTAATCCATTGCTGGATTCACAATAATTCTAACATCATTTTCCCACCCAGAAGATTGTTGGAAAACACTTTTATTTGTTGGTCTGCTGACATAAGTAGATTTACTGTGTGGCCATTCAAATAAAGAAAAGTTAGTAAAATGTGAACATGTTTTAGTTTAAATGTTTTATTTCATAACCAGATCAACTAAAATATATTCTGACCATAAGATTCCATTTCAGAAATTCTTGAGTAATTTTGATCAGTGGCTTTGTCTTGAGCATCTTTGGTATTGTGACAATTGAGGCAGTTTGTGAGTTTGATTCCAGCCTCCCCTTCCATATGTTGATGTTCCCTTGGGCAAGGCTCTAACCCTCAAGTAGCTCACTGCTCTGTGTATCAGCTGATACGTTTTTGTCAGTATAACTGAGCGAATGTGACATGAACACTTTGAGTGGTTTCATGACTAGTAAAGAGTGTAAGTGGAGTCCATTTCTCACATCACCTGCTATTCATAGGTGCAATTCTTAAATGATTTCACAGCTAATCAACAGAGTGACTTATGTTTCCTTTATTGTGTTCCAAATGGTGAACACATTCAATAAGGAAAGTTACATGTGCTAACTGAGACACACTCAAGTGTTTTGATGGAGTTGCTAATTTTTTACTCACCAGCATCTCTTTTTTTTTAACCCATGAAGAGGATAGACAGAATCAGCATTATCTGAATTCACACTTCAGACCGTTTAGTTTTGCTGTCTGTGTGTCACCTTTCCACAGTTCAGAACAAAATGAATTCAGCCTTTATATCAACCTATCTCTAATATCAAATATGCATTCACTATTTATCGGATGGGGCCAGAAGTAGAATTATTTCAGTCATTGTTACTTTTCTCGGTCTCGTAAGTTCTGTTCACCATACTGTAGAAACTTATTAGCAGGTTAATTTCCCCATGCATTTATTATAGAGGTTTATTCTGGATTAGGGCATTCAGCACATTAATTATTCTTTGTAATCAAATTTGTCAACAAATTTGTTTCACAAAAGGCAAAATTTATACAATTAATCTCTTTAAGCACCACACAAGTGGATTTATTTCAAAACTACAAGTTTGAGGTACTGATGTGGGAATGTCCAAATGTGCTTTGTGTCGATAGCAACACTCTTTATTAACATGTCTCCATTCAAAACCTAAACTGCAACAAAACTGTCTTTGAAACATGGGCATGACTGACTTTATTGCCCATTACAAAGCTTCCATTAGCCATCGCCTTAGCAGATCCTCTGCTCTTTTGTCACACCAGCCCTCTGCCTCTCCTCCTTTATTGTATTATGATCCTTTCTCCGTTGATCCAGAGCATCTTAGCTTTGTCCAACTTTCTCCTCGCAACATCTTACGATGTTTTGCTGGTATCTTTTGTAATCCAAATCACTTTTGTTACTTCTAGTGAAAATCTTCTGTTTCCTATTTTTTGAGTTCTACCATCTCTAAATGATGCATAAGAGGTTGTTTTCATCTTGTAAACATGTTTTACTCTTGCAGCTTACTTTTTGTAATCTCCTTTGTTGCTTTGAATGATTAACTCCATGTACTTTAACTCATCTTCTACACATTGCAGATTCATTCTTCCATATCTCTGATTACTGCCACAGATCAGTTTTGTGTTCAAATATTATAGAAAACTCCTGTCTAAATTTAGTGATTTTCAATAAATTAGAAAAAACCAGCCTCATTGGAACACATTCTAAATTACTGAATGTGTGAAAGCGTCCATCAAAATTAAAAACCATCTGCAGGTCAGAGCTCATCACTAATCCCACCCATCTCACCACAAAGCTCTCATGACTACAGATTCAGAAAATGCCAGCCATGTTCAGCCTTGCTTTCCCATATTTTAGTAATTAACCACACAAACTACTCAGCTTTTGACGTTTCTATTGCAGAAAGCAGTTTTGTTTTTAGCAGTCTTCAAATGTCCATTTTGTATAGCTAACACGTTTTCTCAAAATAGTTTTTTTTTTTTTTTCACTAAAACTTAATTGGCATGTGCATGGAAAAATCATAGTTTTGCCAAAATATCCATGTTTCTGTGTATGTATCTATCAGGGCCAGACTAGCTTTGTGTTGTTTTTAAACTAATGGGGTCAGTAGTAGCTTTTCTTTGAGAGTTTCCATCAACAGTCTCAAAGATTCACCCCTTTTAGAAGAGGGAGAACAATTGTCCTCAAGGGTCTCATGTAGTCTATACATTACCTGCACAGAAATTAGTAGTAAAGACTAGGTTTACACTTCTTTGACAATCCTCTTGTAAACTTAGAAAAACTTAACATAAATATTATTTAATGAAAAGGGGTGTTGACATGCTGAGGCATCTATCTTTTTGTCTTTTGTCCAGTGTTGTTATCACTTGCGTATTTTCACATGGAAACTGAGTAACAAAGTCAGATTTTGGATCTAACCAGCTCTTGTTTTGTTAATTCTTTTAGTGTGGTATTTACAGCTTGATACATGAAGACAAAGTCTCACACTCTCAATCCTGTTTTTCTCCTTTTGCCCCCCTCCCGGTCCCTTCTATCTTCTTTCTTCTTTGTTTTTCTCCCCCCTTAGCAACAACCAAACTACTGGAGCTTCAAGGTCAGTGCTGGTATTGTGTTTGTGTTGCAGTGTAAATCTGTGCCTCTGTTCGAATTTGTCTCTTAATAGGATAAAGCCATTGTGCTTTGCATGCCCGGTTGCCTTTTCTCCATTGCATTTAGAACTGGTCACATTGTTGGCACACATGGTTCTGCTAACTGTTTTAACTCTTGCATTACAAACTCCTAAAATATTACATCAGATTTTCACATCTTTGGTAGACTTGAGGCATACAATCTTTCTTTTTTATAAATTGTACTTGCATCTATCTCAGTATTTTCTGCTTTTTTTAATAAATTTGTGGTGAAGACAAATATTGAGCACAACATGATTGTTATAAACTATAATGGGGGACTTTGTTGCAACGGCTTACAGAGTCAGTTCACGTGCACCAGCTCTGAGTACGATCAGGTATTAACAATCAGTCCTGTGAAAAATGGTTCCCACATACCCAACCACAATTAGTGCCATACCTGTGTAACTAAAAAATCACTTCCACAGAACTTGTCTGACATGAAAGATGTCACATCACATTACCGCTTTTAGAAAGCAATATTGTGTTGCTTCTCTAAAAGCAACACACTGTTCCCTTGATCTAAATAAATTATAGATGAGAAATAGTCACTAGACTAAATAATTTTCAAGGCTTTAGGTTTCCACCAGAGACAGGATCTAATAATCTAAATAATTGCCAAAATGACATCTTGATAACTGAAACAGAATTTTGTATTTAATAAAGTGTCTTATAATATCTGGTAAAAAAAAAAACTCCAAAAACAAACTAAAAAACAACTAATAACTCTTCACAAAAAGAACTATTTGTGAAGAGTAGTGGGCTCATTAGTTAAAACTGCTATGTGGACATACAAGAGGATTGGATAATTCACCTGGTTGCCAAACTGTCACCCTCAGGTGAAAGAATATTGGGTTGGATGTTCAGGAACGAGCAAAGTTGAAGAAGAAAAAGACATCAGTGTTGTTGTCCACAATGAAGCCAGTTTAATGTTACTCTGGCCTGAGACAGAGCTTACAAAGTTGAGAGAGAGACAGAAAATAAAACGGGGATTGAGCTGTTTGGTCATATTGAAAAGTATGTTGTAATGATCAAGCTGTAATAAATGTCAACATAGTGATGTTATCATAAGCTGTGGTGCTGTTTTGCTATGCTGGTGCATAAAAGTTTATTTTTCCCTTGTAAAAGAGGGCTTGATAATTAAACTGTGACACAGGTGGATTGTCCACCAGGAAAATTGTAACAAAATATGGTTTTAACTTAAAATTATGTATTTTTGTTTTTAACCAATTCTCATGCTTTGATGCTGAAAATTCATTACATAACACAAGAAATTTAAATTTTCATTTTGTCAGAGCTTGTTGCATTCAGCACATCCAGAAAAATAAGGTACCTGTGAATTGAGGCTAAGTTCACAGGTAGATTGTCAAGTTATTTAATGTGTTATAGAGTTGCACTGTCAAAATGAATCATTAATGCACTGATTAGTTATTTAAAGCAATATTTTGTGGGTCTGACCTCTGTTTTGGAACAGATGTTAATAAGCGCTCTTCCTACTATAGCCAGTTAAGCTGGTGCTTGTATTTCCGCTTTGCGCTGAGTTTTGGAGAGATCCCAGAAAAAATATCTAAGGCAGCTCAGCTCTCATCTCTGCTAAAAATAACGTGGCTGGTTCATTATTTACGGACAGACAAGATGAGACGGGCAGAAAGTCTGAAAACGAAACTCCTCTGAGAATTTAATCAATTTAAAAATAAAACGCACCCACATAGGCCTGGCTGCATCTGATTTGAATGCATTAATACTAAGTACTGTGCAAAGGTCTTCAGTCTTAAGTCAATTTATTTATAATTCTTCAGGCTTTTTGGATTTTTGTTTAAAGGTTATCATTGAACTTTGAATGATTTTTCACACAATTCTGGTAATTTAGCTTAATTAAGCCATTTGTGCAAAGGGAAAATACAAAGTTCTGAACCTTAAACATGATGCATTTCAGTATGTATTAATCAAACTCATTAAATATTGAGCTAGACAATATTAAATGGAAATGGTAAAGGAAACTGATTTTCTTTCTGAAAATTAGCTTTGATTAAATTGATTAATTGGGTTGAAAACTGATTTGCAGAGGCAGCCCTGCATCCTAAATTTCATCTGACATTTCACCCAACTGAATTATGAATTAATGCCTTCAGATGCTGCCTGCATCTGCTGTGCATATATCACATTTTATGCATATTTCTTGCATATTAAAGGTATAAAGTTGCATTAAATGTATCTCATTTGCAAGTTTGAAGGTGTTTATCCCTCGGGGTAATTACACTTGGGGTTTGATTAGCTAAGGATGAGCTCTGTGCTTCCCCAAGAGCACAAAGGGAGACAGCTGTGAACGTCAGTCAGCGGGAAGAAGTTATTCATGCCCTCATCCTTTCATTGCTAATTTTAATGCAATCTTGACTCAATTACACAGTTTAGTCATTGACAGAAAATGTGGGAGACGGGATGAGTTGAGTTGAAGCCAACTTCACGCCCACTCTGCTACAAACACATGGTCTGCATCCAGGATCTTTGAATCACTTCCATGCTTCTCAGAGTGTGGCCTTATTGAGTTCTACCACTGAAATGGGCAGCAAATTACAGCAATGACTGGCAAGATTCGCATGGAAATACTGTAAAAATATGTGAGTTTATCTAAAACATTAAGATTTTTGTGCTACACTGGAAGTGGTTTGAGCTTCACACACTAAGGATTTTATTGACAGATCAGAGCAATCAAAATCAGATGAAGATCTCTGTTTTACATATTTTTAAACTAGCTGTCAAAAACAGCAAGTTTGGTGGTTCACAGGTTACACTTAACGCTTAAAAAAGATTTGAATTATATAGCTTTTCTGAAATCCTTGTTTTCTTTCAGAGCAGCAAGTTGGCCAATGTCTGCAAAGACATACACAAATCTGTAATTCATAAATGGCTCCACCTTCATGTGATGTTGTACAGCACCTGCTATTATACGGGCTTACAGCAGCTTTCTTTAACCGTAAAATGACTAGATACCTAAGCGCTTCTCTCAGAGCTTCTGCTGACATGGCGGATATAAACTCTGCTGAAGGATTTTCTGTGATGGAACAAAAAGAAAAAACTGCTGCTTCGGGATTAAATGGGATGTAAAATGTTTGCTGGAACTAGCATTAAAATGTCAAAGGATAAGGCAGAGAGAATAAATCCAAAGCCAACAGTGAATGTATCAAACCACCATCCTCTGTTTGTGTTGTTACCTCTTATTTCTCCACTTCAGCTTGAACCTCGATGCAGCTCTATAATACCAACCTTTTTGAAAGTTTATACGACTTAGAAAGGCAAACGTCTACCCAACAGGATGAATATATTGCCGGCATGCTGAACTTGCATATGGCACAGTAGTGAATACAAGCAGTACTCCTTATTGCAGTGTTGATTTTCCAAAAATGATTTTGGATCGATATGCTGTACACTTACTTTACCAGATATAGTTGACGTAATGGGATTACATTTACAGCAAGTAAATTATGATCGTTGTTTCGTTATCCGCTACTTTTAAATCAAAATGTTGTTGGTTCGGCGAATTAGTCTGAGACTGGTTCTTAAATATTGTAACCAGCAACAGAAGAATGGTGTAGAAAAATGGCCAGAACTCCTCAGGTCATCGTTTGCAACTAGATGGACTGTTCCATTAAGATTAGGGGTCAAATTTAGCCTCAAACTGAAAAATTCAAGTACCTTGGACTGTTGTTCATGATCACTGATAAGAGAGAGCAGGCAATGAATATTTGGAGTGAGACTTCATCTGCACCACTGAGTAGATCTGCTGAGGCAAGAAACAACAAAACCAACAAGTAAAAACTCTTGACTCTTCATATATAAATATATTGTTCTTTACAGAAGTTATCAAAGTGGCACAATCTGATTAAAATCTATCCAGACATTTTCTAAATATACGAGGAGTATTTGGAAAAGGCAAATTTGTGAATACAATTTGAATGTTTTATGCAGATACACAAGTTGTTGGTTAAGATTTGTAAAAATGTGATGTTTTGTGCAATTAAGTCACTTCTAAATTTACCAGACAGTATCCAGAATCATTTTATATATATTCTGCTCTACAGAAGAAGTAGAATAAGAACAGAATTTTATTTTATTTTTTTGTCACTAAGCTCTGAGAATAAGCAGAGAAGCCTGATTCGCCGATCAGGGTTTTAATGTAAATTGAGCAAATCAGCGTTTGGAAATTCTTATCTCCGTCCCCCGCAAAGAAAGGTTTGCTTCTCAAACCAACAAATTACCTCTTTTTACACTGATGCAGTTTTTTCATGTTGATATGTATTATGCATGTATTTAGTGTGATGCCCATAGTTATGTAAATGTATTGAGATTGCAGCCAGGGCCAAAGCTTGATTCTGGAAGAAAGACCAGCACTGTTTGCAACATGCTGCAAGATCAAGTGTGGACAAAGCGACCAATTGTATTGCTGGCCTTACAAAAAGAGAAAAGAATAATTTCTCCTCTTTTCAAGTGAAGTATCTGATATTTTTACTAAAGATTTGTTACTCAGAAACTGTCTTCTGTTCCGGTATTTCCGTGATTAGCTTTAACTAAAGTATGAACATTTCAGTAGGAATGTTTTTCTTTTTTTACTCAAATATCTTGCACATTACAATGAAAACTGTCAGAATTATATCGAAAACTTAGTCTGATAAAGTTTAGAAATTTTCAAAATGTAACAACCTGCCATCAAAGTGGATGGAGCCAATAGATACTGAGGTGGATGGCCAACTTTGTTGATGAGCAGAGGGAGTTGAGCAGGGCTGTGGTGAGGACGAACAGATCACGCTAGCAAATTTTTTTTTTTTCCCAAAAAAGCAACCAGCAGCAACTCTAAGAACAATTTTGTGTTATCGGAGACTTTGGTGATGACACATAAAGCACCCGTTCTGACTGAGCGAGCAGCAAATTC